ACTCACTTGCTGTGTCTCCCATAAAAGGCAGTCTCATGAATAGATCTCTCTTTTCTGCCGTTGCAACTGCGGCTTTTGTGACACGCTCCTTGATGTTACGAAAGATGAACCTTTCTGAGTAGCCGTTTTCATGGAGTGTGTTTTGTGGCTACTGCAATTCTACTTCCATTATTTCAGGAGAGCAGATACGGCGTATTCTGGCTGCCATTCCCTGGACTTAGTTTAGTTTAACGTTAAGGGGAAAAAAGCGGTAAAAATTAACGCTGCAATTGTCTGACGATTTTTATTCCCCATGTTATGTACCGGCCTGATGATGAATGACCGAGAACAATTGTTTGCCAATACGACTTTTCAATAAAAGATAAGTTAGAAGGTGAAATGGGTCCAAATTTCTTATACACGGGAGCAAATATTTCGGTTCAAGAGTTTCTGATTTTGGTTTTCTGTCAGTTTCAAGCCTTATAACTCTTTATGTAGGGAAAACCTTCATTTGCGTTATGAGAGGATAACAGTCGTGTTAATTTGCTGCTTTTATTTCTAGACCCGATATCACTTGTTTGCGGAAATTGCTTAAGTTAAACATTCTAGTGAAAAAAAATGATTGAGCTAGGTTCAAAATGACCGATTAATTGTCATGTTATAAGTCAAGAAGCCATAATAAAGCGATTGAAAATCACAATCCATACTAAGTTTCAATTCTTATGGAGGGTGGGAAATGTCCTCCTCCTTTAATGCTCGAAGGTTATCGCTTCTAAGCTAACGGTGTATTGGTTCGACTCCTTTTTGCTTTGCCTGCATTAAAATGATTCTTCCCTTATTGAAAACTAACTATTCAACAGTTTTTCTTTATCGAAGATATCACTTTTTACTCTTCAGGAAATATGGGTTTTTGCATTTGGTGGTTTTCTAGAAAGATGCAAATTAGATTTGCTTACACGACTGTTACCCATATATTAAGAGCAACTCGATAAGACTGTCGTTTTGGCTCCACAAACGTTTTTCCTCCAATCGCGCCGTTAACTGTAGCATGGCTTTTGGACATTTTAGCCTACTTAACGCTTGCGGTGACCGACCTGTCTGCGAAATACGAGAGTCAGCAATGGCACACCATGCAGTTGGTGAATTCATCGACTTCCACTGCCAACTCCCTTTCGAGTTCATCCATATCCTCTGCAGTGACAGCATCCTTCTCTCTGCCCCACCACTCCTTGGAGACAGACTCCAATGCCTCCAGCTCCTCCAACCTTTTCTCCCCCTCCGATCGTGCTGGACTCGGTGGCGGACAGCACGCAACCACCAATAAACGATCCGTGTCTGTTGCCGGCACGGCACCCATTGTCTCCGGCCTGCTCCTCATGGGTGGCAAATCGAAGAGGTCCAGCAAGCACAGCGTTGGCAGCTGTGAGGGTGGACTGTCGAGTTTCAGTGGTTCCGCCTCACCCAGTCAGCAGAACCCAAATTTGCCCCAGATCAGGCTGGTTGTTCAGTACCAGTCTGTCGATGTGCTGCCACTTGCCTACTACGATGACTTACGAAAGGTAGGCTTTGTTTACTCTTGTCTCATTGCCTTTCTTATTCTGTTACGCTGCTGATAGTCCCAACAGCGCAAATGCCTATTACCCTTAAATATACTGAAGTATAACCAACTTGTTGAAAGCTTATTCAATAAGCACGAAATGTTCCTCAAACTGGAGTAAGGCATATTAGGCGTTATAACATATTTCGAGCCAAAACATTAAAATACTTTAATACTTCGCTGGGTTTAATAGTTTCCTTATGAATTCCACGTAATAGCAAAGACATATCAAAAATAGCTTGCATTTACACAGACCGAACAGGTTAGTGGACATACTGGTCTCGATGTGCCTTACGCATCACTCTAGAGCCCTCACTGGAAATCGCATAGCGGCTAGTAGCGATATATCACTGTATGAACAAACATAAGGGGGTCCGGAATAGTCATTTCTGGCCGTCATTGGTCGTCATCAACCAGTTTCTCACAATTTCAAACGCGCCACTTCATCATAATTGATGTTCCCGACCTGACCGTGTCTCGTGGATAGAACATTTGCCTCAATAATTCAACAGCCGCAGATTTTAACCTCTGGTGATCTACGCTTGGAATCGGGTATGACCGGCTGAGGTCGACTTATAAACCAGAAATTGCTATTCTAGCCTGCCTTGTATTTGTCGGCACTCCATCGTTCGCAACGGCCTTTGATTCCAGATCACACATGAACTTACTGACTGTCACGATCATTCCATATTAGTTATTTACTCCCCCTGAAACGGATTTAATGGACGTTCATCCCAGGCTATGGTCAGAATCTGGTTACTAGCAATAATACTTTAGTCAGGCATGGGTTCCTTCACGAACCTCGTTTAAGGCACATGCACAGACACGCGCGTAAATAAGTCGCTCAAGATGCCTGTTTGCATGGGGTAAGATTGGTCAGTCAGGTTTTAGGACGCTAAGGACAAGCGTCTTGCCAGTCAAGAGGTGACATTTGCGCCCTAGGCTAGCCCATCGTGTAGCAAATATTTCTTACCACGGGCGGCCCCTGAGGCAAGCTTGGAATTATTAAGTCCTAGGCAAAGCTGAGGGAAAAGGCGACGGTGTTAATTAAAATCCAAAGAACACCTGAAGGGACGCTATACAGGTAAAATAAAACTTCGGTAAATAATAAGGGATTACAATTAACAGCAGATTGTCTATCTCATAAAATGTCATCCGAACTTATGAAGTGTGTTTTCCATCCTTAAACAGTTACTTAAGTGGGGCTGTAACATAGATGATCCTGCGGCCTAATCTCATGATATTTTAGACTCGTTAGGATACCGGCTTTTGAGCGACCTTTTTTCTAATTTGAAACAGAAAGCATACTTTGGGAACAGTAGTATGCATTTATTTGATTGGTTTTCAATGTTATTCTACTTCCTAG